CCCACAGGGTGGGGTTGGATCTCTGAGGGAGGGGCTGCTGCCTCTCCTCAAAGCCATGGGAAGGAGCAATGTGGCTGGCACTCCGCAAACGCTCTGGGTGCCCTACAAATCCCGAGTGTCCCGACACAGTTCCAGTCCAGTCTGCCCTCCCTCTGCCGGAGCCCAAGGTGAGTGGCTGTGTCTGTTTCAGCCTCTGTCCGGCTCTGCGCTGTGGAGCCGCCTGGGAGTGTAACCGGAGGGCGCTGCTCCCAGCTAAGGCCGCTGCAGAGCTGCTGACCGTGGGCTCCCAGCCCTGGTCTCGCGCCTTCGCAAGCCTACCAGCATGGAGTCAGTGTCCCTTGTTATATGGTCCTCCAAGTTGCTTTTCTGTTGCTTTTTCCCGTCGATTTGTCTGTGTTATAGTTGTAATTCCAGTTTGGTTCTGGGAGAAGGTCTGTGTAGCTCCGTTCACTCCGCCGCCATTTTCTGTTTTATCCAGAGCTTTTTTGTAATCTGCAGCTTCAGTATCATTTTATACTTATGCAGTGTAGTAGGTGTCCTGACATGTGTGAATGGAAGAATTGGGTAACACACAGTGGTTTATAGATTGCTTGTTTTGGCCATATATGTCGGTTTCTGTGTTCTGCTTAGAAAGAAGTATTATTATAATATAAAGTAAGTTATTTCAAATGGTGTTGTGGGTACTATTGGTTTCCCTCCCGGAGCCCTCCCCAAGGTGGTGCATGCATACCCCCGTGATGAGTGTTGGCTTCTAATGGTTGATTGCTGTTCCTTTATCCAGAGATTTGGCCCCAGGGAACTTGTGTCTGCAGCTAATGAAAACTTACTTGGGGGTGTCCCTCCAGATGGGACTGACTGTAGTACAGTTCAGGCTGAAGTGAGAATCCTGCTGAGCCACACTTTGAAATGTCCCTTGCTTCTTTCACTCCCCTCATCCTGAGAGCACCTCCTCTATTAATCACCAGCACCCAAATCTCTGTCTCAAGCCCACCTCTAGGAAACTGAATCTAAGACAATAGAGATACGATATGGTCACTTTTAGCAGAAGTAATGTGAAAATTGATGACTTGCTCACAGTGGACCCATTAGGATCATCTGGAAACATCACTAGATAGGGAATCTGGGCTCCTGTTCTCGAGTTTCTAAAAACAGCTAGGTCTGAACAGTCATTTCATTTCTGTGACCCTGCCTTTTCTGTTGTGTAATATATGGAACTTAGACTATGCGCTATTCTTAGACTCTCATGTTGAAGATTTTTTGCTTAAGGCATGGAGTTATTAAATGACGATGTGTGACTTCCCCTGATGCCCCAACTCCCGTTTGTGAGATAGCCTTAGAAGATGCTTAGCTTTACTCCTCTGGAATTGAAACATGAAACATGAAACATGGATGATATACATTTTCTAGGAAAAGCTTTCAGTATATTTCCTAAGGTGTTTGTCACCCCTGGAAGTTTAGTGCCAACGCCTTACAGGATTTTCTTCTTTTATTCCTTCTCTTTATAGATAGAAGTTCAAAATCTATTCTAAGAATATTTGCACCCTCTAGACATACATTCGTACACACACACACACACACACACACACACACACACTTTTTTTTCTTTCCATTGTTTCCATACTTCCTTTTCTTTTTGTGAAGGGCAGAGTTTTCTTACACTTTCCAGTGCTGTCTCCTCCTGGACATGTGGAGGATGACTCTGTGTTACATAGCTCATGAATGCTCCTGAAGGTTTGTACTGTTACGTAGTTGATTCCAAACTTTTTTATTTTTTCCTTTATTGATTTTAGAGAGAGAGGGGAAAGGAGGAGGAGAGAGAGAAACATCGATGAGAGACAACATTGACTGGCCACCTCTTGCATGTCCCCCACTGGGGATCAGGCCCACAACCTGGGCATGTGCCCTGACCGGGAATTGAACCGGCGACCTCTTGGTGCATGGGTTGACGCTCAACCACTGAGCCACACCGGCTGGGCCAAACTTCTTAATAGTATCATGTTGTGTTTGTTTCGTCTTTGTTTTTAAACAGGGACTGTCATCACACTTTTATCATGAAGGTGAGTGCCATATTTAGATAAGAGAGGTCAGATGATCCAGAGGAAAGAGGTTGGGGGAGCTCTGGTTCTCTTGCTCAATTCCAAATACACACCTTTGGTGTATAAGCTCATGTCATCTCGAAGATGCCTTTCCACAAAGCAGTGGCCTTTTTTTCTTTCTATCTTGAAATTTTTCTTTTATTTTAGCCATGATTAATGGGTTTTCTGTTTTTTAGTATTCTGTATCTATAAACTATTTTAATTTGCTGGCTAAGGAGGCTAGGTCATGTTTGGTTATCAGACAAATAAGAAGAAAAATAAAGTGAATAATTTAAAACAGGTTCTCAGTGTTCTTAGTTCTCCCACTTTTTATAATAATTATTCACCAACTTCCCTATTAGTTTTTTTCCCCAGTGAAAATATTTATAAATAGCTTATTTTTTATACTTAAAATAAAAAACCAATATAATGCCTCAGTGCACTGTATAATAAAACACTGTGTATTTCGGTATAAACAGTTGGCCATGACTACTCAAGAAGGCACAACAGTCACATTCTTGAATCTCCTCAGGCCCTCTGAGCACAGCAGCTGCAGTGCAGGTTGATAGAGGAATGCTGTTCTGCTGATTCGATGTCAAAGCAGTGTTGTCCTGGCACACCTGCATTTCAGCAGTAGAGCTCAAGTATTGGTAAAACTAAAAAGAAAAAGGAAAAGACTCCCCCCCAAAAAATGTGTTATTGTAATTTATAGAATAGTAGTTGGATTCTTGGAAACTCCAATGTATATTAAAACCATACAATAAGATGTATTTAATGTGTGACAATTTACATATGAATTCTATTTTAACATCTGATTCCACTGAATTAGTGTTTAGGCTTAGATAATTATGATTCTCTCTTTTTTTTTAGTCCTCACCCAAGGATATTTTCCCATTGATTTTTATACAGAGAGGTAGGTTGGGAGGGAGAGAGAGAAACATCAATGTGAAAGAGACTGGTTGGTTGTCTCCCGAACATCTCCTACTGAGGCGGGGGATCAAACCTGCACCCTAGGTATGTGCCCTTGACCAGGAGTCAAACCCGTGAGTTTTTGGTCTGTGGGCCAATGATCTAACTGCTGAGCCAAACTGGCCAGGGCGTTCTTTTTTTATTTTAAATAAGAGTGCCTATCTGTCTTTTGGAGACAGGACAAGGTTTTTATTTTACTTTTATTTATTTATTTTGTTGTGTAGGATTAGCCCATGTGTTGCATACAATCTAGCCATCTTCCTCCTGCAGATCTTAGTACCATCACCTCAGTCACAGTGACAACCAAAATGCCCTCAGACATTTTCAAAATACTTCCTTAGTGGTGTTAAAGGCCTGTTGAGAATCACTGGCTTAGAGGGAAAAAAAGAACAAAACAAACCATTATTCACATAATACGATATTACTAACTTAGAACAGCCAAGAGAGACATTACTAATTACTATCTTTTATTGGAGTGTCAAATGGAACAGCTTATAAGATCTTAAATATTTATATCAAGGTGCAATGAAGGGAATTTTGACTTTTAAGTGCTTGAATGGTTTGGTAGCCAAAACCTGAGTCAGCTAAAGGCATAAACTTTGGTGTGTGATGAATTGTAGCACCCTTATAAAACTTGGAAGAAATTTAACTTGCTGGACTTCATAGGTGATCCAAAGTTCTGAATTTTATGGTCCCCTTTCTGGGTGGATATGGAATTTATATATATTCAGGTGTTTTATCTTGTGTATTGCAAATGACTCAGGGCTAAGATCAGGAGGAAACCTGGTGGAGCTGTCCTCTGCCTCTTCTGTCTTAGGCTCCTTTCCTCTACCAGAACAGACTCTTACTTCAGCAGTTTAATTCAATCCTGGTGACAGTTCTTATATTTATGTGGATATACTTGACTTGCATTTTTAGTGAGGGTTATGTCTGTAGTAGTACCCAGGTCACATAAACCCATGTTTTAAATAGTGCTTGATCAATGTTAGGTGGTACCTCTTTTTATAAGTGTAATTTTTTTTTTAAATCCTCACCTGAGGATATTTTTCTATTGATTTTTTTTTTTTTTTAAGATAGGGTAGGAGGGAGGGAGGGAGGGAGAGAAACATTGATGTGAGAAAGACACATTGATGTGAGAAAGACACATTGATGTGAGAAAGACACATTGATGTGAGAAAGACACATTGATTGGTTGCCTCCCGAACGATCCCAACCGGGGCCGGGGATCAAATCCACAACTAAGGTGCGTGCCCTTGACTGGAAATCGGACCAGAGACTCTTTGGTATGAGGGCTGACGCTCTAACTGCTGAGCCACACGGGCCAGGGCTATATGTGTAATTTTTTAAATATAATTTAGAACACTGAGTAAAGTTAAAGCAGTTAATAAATATTTTAGATGGGATGGAGAGGAGACACTTAAAACTGTAGAATGCTTCACCTGTTCAGGGAATCAGTACTAGGTATTTGATAATAGGTGCTTGTAGCTATCAAAATCTGAAAAGTGGTTGGCTTATTCACCTTTTAATTTTTGATACATGAAACAGCTCTCTCAGTATGGTGTAAGATAGCTTCAGGTACAGCTGTTGTAAATATGTACGTGTATGTACACACACCCACCCACACACACATTTTGAAATTATTAATTCTAATGACTTTATGAAAGGCAGGATCTTCAACTGTGTAATTACCTATAGCGATGAGAATATAATTTTACCAGCCTGCTGTGAATTCAAAAAGCTGTTTTGGTAAGTGTTTGCCTCTGAAGATGATCTAGAATACTTGCTTCTGTGTACCTCAGCTCTTTTTCTCTCTCCTCTAGGCAGAACTACACGTAAATCATCCCAAAACAATTAATGCTGCTGTAGTCACAAATTATTGATTTTACGTTCCTAGTGTATGTAGAGTGGCTGCTCCACTTAGATTCTAAAATGAGGCTTTTTAATTGTGTTTTCCAGGAAGATATGAATTTAAATGAAGATAAGAAGGCACCATTGCGGGAAAAGGACTTCAGTATCAAAAAAGAAATGGTGATGCAGTACATTAATGCTGCTTCCAAGACAGTAAGTAAAACTGTCAAGTGGAAAAATATGGCCAAAACATGTGGTGGTATGAAAAACAATGCATTTGTCTAATGAAGTGCTTAAGTGTGTGGGCCACTGGAATCAGAGGGCTTTTGAGTGTATAATTAAAGGCACGAGAACTATAAGATTGTTTAATTTAAAAGTAGAACTCATCTTACAACTTTTAAACTACTTTGTGTTTTAGCCACTTGCATTAAGAAACACTGTGATTAGTTAGCTTATTTACTGTAAGACAACTTTTCTTGATAGTGAATTAAGATGGTTATTGATTTTTATGTCACTTATAAATTGGGATAATATTTGTATTATAGAAAAGTGAGACTGATTTTACTCTAACTGCCTAAATCAGGATACATTATAGTGGCTTAGAGGCGTATCTTTAATGTGAGGTTTTCTATGGAGACACTTATCTTGTAACAAGTTAAAAATGTAGACATTGAAAGGAGGAGCCCTTAGCCTTTACCTGGCTACCAGTTTTCTAGGGAACAGGGAATATATGGGTGGGAATACTGGCCAAATGTCTAAGAAACCATAATTGGTACATAATCAGTTACATTCATTTCATGGACCAACAAATGAGCTTGACCAGCCATATGAAAATTGTAAATAAATAGGTTAGATGAAAAATATAAAATGGAAGCTAATGAAGATGCAATTGGTAGAAAGACTATACAAAATGATTTTGGCTGAACTGAAGATAGAACTGGATTAGGGGAAAATAACATACTGTAGTTTTCACTGGATACTTTATAAAGCTGGGTTAAATGAATATAAGTTACTTATACTTTAACTCCATTTATTTGCTAGTCCAGTCAGTGACTCTATGGTATTTCTTGTGGAAGACAGACTCAAGTGATACTTAATTTTTAAACATGCCTCATGTTTAAGCAGCCTAATGTTTAGTTGTAGAAATCACCGAGTACTGTTATTTCAGCTCTTTATATAGATGGGCTCTGTACCTGCTATTGTGATACAAATTGCCTTTGTCCCTAAATGATACTTGGATATCACAAATTTGCATTAGGAGTCAGAGCTCTTATGTTTTAGATCAATTTATTTATCTTCCATTTCACTGGGGCACCTGACTATATCTCCCTGATCCTCAATTTCCTCGTTCATAAGATGACACTAATATCCACGTAAACTTGATGTTAGAATTATGTTGTTTATTTCATGATTAAAACATAACAGATTTTATTTATTTTATTATTACTTTTTAATCCTCACCCGAGGATATGCTTATTGATTTTTCTTTTCTTTTTTTTAATCCTCACCCTAGGACATTTTTCCATTTGTTGTTCAGATAGAGTGGGAGGGGGAGAGAGGAAGAGACAGAGAGAGAAACATCGATGTGAAAGGGACACATCGAGTGGCTGCCTCTCGCATGACCCAACCAGGGCCAGGGACAAACTGCAACTGAGGCATGTGCCCCTAGCGGGAACCGAACCCGGATCTCTTCAAACCGCAGGCCGAAGCTCTGACTGCTGAGCCAAATCGGCCAGGGCTTTTTTTTCTTTTTTTAATTGATCTTGGAGGGAGGGAGGGAGAATGGGAGGAAAGAGAGAGAGAGAAACATCAGTGTTAGAGAAACATCAATTGACTGCCTCCTGCACATGCCCTGACCAGGGATCGAATCCACTACCTTTTGGTGCAGGGGATGATACTCCATCCAACTGAGCCACCCAGCCAGGGCAGATTTTATAACTGGTGCCTATGTGGTGGTAGCATTAGTAGTAGTAGCAATTGTTTGTTTTTTATTTTTCTTTGTGATTTCTTTATTGTTTGTGCTGTTGAAATTATCATACCATAATTAAAAATATAAGTAAATGTATGTACATCAGTAAAAATGCAATTTTACTGTTAATGAGTTTACACTTCTAAGACATTCATTTGTTTACCCATCACACAAATTAAGTATCTGTACGTGAGGCCCTGGAGATGGAGTGCCCAGATAATTTATCATGTGTCTTATGGAGCAACATCATGTGTCTTATGGAGCAACATAAGAGCAACATAAGACAACACATAAAGGCATGTAATAGGTGAAATGTGATGTGGAAAAAATAGCAAGGAAAGGGATGGAGATGGTATAACTGTTTTATATAGAGTAATCAGGGAAGAGGACCCTGTTTGGGAATTTTAAATCCAACAAGCATGAATTCACTTAATATAATTACAAGGGATACACTATTAGAGTTGCTTTAGAAAGCCTCACATTTTAATTCTTGAATTTCAGGTAATAAACAGACTTTTTAATAGAACAAACCATTTTGAACTTCATGATAGTGGATCTATTTCATTTTGCATTCACTAATTTTAAACTTTAATCCTCTAATCATTTTGGACTAAGGTTGGAATTTATTTACCAGAATTAGTTAATTAGATTATCAGGATTGAAATAGATTAGTTATTTAAAATATGATTAAAGCATTGGCTCATTTAATTAGTGTGTGTGGATCATAGCTTTTCCTAGGAGGGTTGTGAATAATCTGGCAGATGTTTAACGCTGCAGAAAGTTCGGGCTGACCAGTCATCTATTTTTGCTCTGGAAGTAGAAACACATTTTATTAACTCGAGGATATGGACTTTGTCATGCCAGTATATTTAGGTTAATGAGTACTCAGAGAGTTTCTCTGAGAAAAACAATAAAAATTCATCCGTAGATTGTTTGAGATACTTTTGTTATCATTTTAGCCTTAGAATTTGCTTTGAGCTTCTCTTTTGTGGGTGTGCATTCGTACAGTTTGTTTTGAAATATGTTTTTATTGATTTTTGAGAGGAAGGGAGGGGAGGGGGGGGAGAGAGAAACATTGATGTGGGAGAAACATCAATCGGCTGCCTCCTGTATGCCCCCTTCTGGAGATGCAGCCTGCAACCCTGACATGTGCCCTGACCTGGAATTGAACTGGCAACCTTTTGGTGCACGGGACAATGCCCAAACAACTGAACCATACTGGCCAGGGTGCATTAATATAATTTTTTTGGAAAACAGTACTGATGCCTAGTTGATTTAAAAAAACTTTAGAAATGTTAAGTCTCAAAGTAGCAGTAAAGTAGATAAGGCTGGTTTTTAGAAGAGAGGGAGAAAAATCAAGTTAGTTGATTATTGAAGACCTTGGTGAGTTTCAATTTAGGTAACCAAATATTAAAACTGAATTTCTTCAGTTAAAGATTACTATTAAAATTTTACTATTTTACTATTAAAATATTACTATTAAGTGGGTATCATGTGTAGAGGCTGTGAATGCCAGGCTTGCATTTTTCTAACTTCCTAGGGCATGGACATGTGACCCAGCTTAGGCCAGTCCAGTCCAGTCTGGGGGCCGGGCCTGCTCCGGACTTGTGAGAAAGGTTTCTCTCCATCGTGAAAGAATCCAGAGCAGGAAAGCCACCTTTTCCTGCCATTGACCATGCTTGTGAGCGGATGTGGGTTGCTTGGGATGAGGCATCTTGGAGCTGCTGCTCTGGTCCGATGCAGTCCTGCTCCAGACCCTTCTGTTACATGAGATGATGCGTCTCCTTTAAGCAGTTTTAAGCTGGGTTTTTGCTTTGTTGCTGTAAACATCTTGATATAGCATCCAGATACACTTTTGCCTATGCAGGATCTCTCTTTATCTCTAATTCAGTCTGGAAATTACTCTGTCCATCCAAAGGAGCATCTTGAAAGACCCTCCCCTCACCCTATATACTCAGAGCATAAATGAGAGAGGTACTACCTGGTCCTGTGGGCATTTCTTGGTAAATGAATAGCCTCAGATGTTTAGCAGCAAGCTTATTGGAGAAAACTTCTTTCAAAAAGAATTATACAGATTTTACTTTTGTTTGATTACTGGCTAGAGGCTAACACTATTCTGCAATTAGTGGTATGGACCTTGAAAGTAGGATGTAACGTGATAGTCCAAATAGAAGTGAATTCACAGTTCTGAACAGTGTAAGAAAATTCTGTGACAGAAGAGGATCTCTTAAGCCAAAACTTACCTAAGAGTGTTCCCTATTTTCTAAATGGAAGGGAACCAGAATTTAATACATAGAGCTAGCATATAAATGTATCTAATAATGCTTAATCTAACAGAGTAGTTCTCATTCTTTATTGAGATTTATTATTTTTACTCCTTTTCTTCCCTTAAAATTCTGTTTTTTTTTGTTTGTTTGTTTGTTTTTTTATGTTTCGTATTTATTTGTTACTCTTAGAAAAGCTCATTTTTGACTGGACTCAGACTTCGAGGTAGAAGCTCTTGGAGAGGACAGCCTGCGTCTCTTGGCCATCTGTTCCTGCGCTTTTCTTTAGCCTCCTTCATTCTCTCAGCCAAAAGTTTAGCGTATTCTGCAGGCCCTTCCTTATTTTTCTTAGTAGGTAGTTTCTTCAGAGCAATACGCCGACGTTTGTGTTGCAGGACATGTGGAGTAACAAGGCGCTGAATCTTGGGTGCTTTAGTCCTAGGTTTCTTACCTTCTTTGTTTAGGGGCTTCCTCACAACATGTTGGCGGACATCATCTTCTTTAGAGAGATTGAAAAGTTTTCGGATTCTGCTAGCTCTCTTGGGACCCAGGCGAGGAGACACAGTAGTATCAGTGAGAACAGGAATATATTCTCCCCCCCCTTTTTTTTTACAATGACCAAATTGAGAACACTGAGATTGGCATCCACACTGCAGCCCCGAACAGATTTGCGCTTCCTCTCTCCTGTCCTCCTTGGTCTATAGCAGGAATGCCCCTTACTCGGGAGCAGGCGGACACGGCCATGGGTCAAGATGCCCTGCTTCATGGGGAAACCTTGTTTGTCATTCCCACCACTGATTCGAACCACATAGCCCTTCCATTCTTCACCCAGGGCGTCAGCAGCAACTTCTGTGGCCGTACGCTTCTCATCAAAGGTTCGAAGTTTGCGTTCATCGTCCACTTCAATGAGTTTCTGGCAGCCAGTGGCTGGGAAAGATGTTCAGCTTCATCCCGAAGCAGCCGACCGCCTCCGAGGTGCC